ATATTATATTATATTATATTATATTATATTATATTATATTATATTATTCAGAGGTGGTATTCAGCCGGTTCGTACTGGTTCAAGTGAACCGGTAGCAAAGATCACAGGTGGGCCCGGCCACACGCCCTGGCTATAGACATGTTTTCAAGGCCGAGCGAATGCGCAGAAGACGTGCAAGCAAGGAAAATGTATGCGCGGATGGCGCGCATGGAGTGAGCATGCGCACGTGCAGCAAACCAGTCGTAAGAATATTGGAAACATACTGCTGATTATATTATATTTATATTACATTACATTATATTACATTAAAGGTAAAGGTAAAGGTTCCCCTTGCACATATGTGCTAGTCATTCCCGACTCTAGGGGGTGGTGCCGTTTCAAAGCCGAAGAGCCAGCGCTGTCCGAAGACGTCTCCGTGGTCATGTGGCCGGCATGACTCAACGCCAAAGGCGCAAGGAACGCTGTTCCCTTCCCACCAAAGGTGGTCCCTGTTTTTCTACAAGCATTTTTTACCTGCTTTCGAACTGCTAGGTTGGTAGAAGCTGGGACAAGTTACGGGAGCTCACCCCATCACGCGGCACACTAGGGATTCGAACAGCTGAACTGCCGACCTTTCGATCGACAAGCTCAGAGTCTTAGCCTCTGAGCCACCGCATCTGTGCAATTATATTAATTTATCATTATATGAATTTGCCTGTTATATTATAATTATTATTATAATTATAATAATAATAATAATTATTATTATTATTATTATTATTATTATTATTATTATTATTATTAAATTTCTATACCGCCCTTCTCCCAAAGGACTCAGGGCAGTGTACAGCCAGAAATAAAACCATGACAGTAGAAAAATTAAAAACAAGTTAAAACAATTAAATCAATTGGCCGAAAATTCTAATAAAATGACCCATTAAAATAGTAAAAATATTATTATTATTTAGGCCAGCCCTTTTTGTTGGAATAGTAATGTTTTTAGGGCACGGCGAAAGGTATGCAGGTTGGTAATTCTACGAATCCCCGGGGGCAGCTCATTCCAGAGGGTAGGGGCCCCCACAGAGAATGCTCTCCCCCTGGGGATCGTCAGCCACCATTGTCTAGTTGACAGCACCCGGAGGAGCCCCTCTCTGTGGGAGCATACCGGTCGATGGGAGGCTATCGGTGGCAAAAGGCGGTCTCGTAGATACCTAGGGCCCATGCCATGGAGCGCTTTAAAGGTGTCAACCAACACCTTGAATCGCACCCGGAAGACCACCAGGAGCCAGTGCAGCTCGCGCAGGAGAGGTGTCACATGGGAGCATCGGGTCGCTCCCATAATTACCCGCGCGGCCACATTCTGGACCAGTTGGAGCCTCCGGATGCTCTTCAAGGGGAGCCCCATGTAGAAAGCGTTACAATAGTCCAGATGGGAAGTGACGAGGGCATGAGTGACTGTGTGTAAGGAGTCCCGATCCAGAAAGGGACGTAACTGGTAAATCAGGCGAACCTAATAAAAAGCCCCCCTGGCCACAGCCGTCAGATGGTCTTCTAAGGACAGCTGCGAGTCCAGGAGGACACCCAAGTTGCGAGCCCTCTTTGAGGGGGTCAAGATCTCACCCCCAATAGTCAGTGATGGAGTCAACTGACTATGACGGGACGCCGGAAACCACAGCCACTCGGTCTTGGAAGGGTTAAATCTGAGCTTGTTCCTCCCCATCCAGATCTGTACGGCTTCCAGGCACCGGGACATCACTTCAAGGGCATCATTGGGGTGGCCCGGGGTGGAAATGTACAGCTGAGTATCATCAGCGTACTGATGGAAATCCACCCCGAAGCCACGGATGATATTGATAGATAAATACCCCGTTTCCCCCAAAATAAGACATCCCCTGATAATAAGCCCAATTTTTGAGCGCATGGCAATAAAGCCAAACACTTACTTGAGGGTTCAAAAAAAATATAAGACAGGGTCTTATTTTCGGGAAAACACGGTATGTATAATATAATTAAATATATAAATTCTAAAAATGGGCAGAACATATTCAGAGAGGCCAGATATCTTCAACAGTGTGTTACAAAATACTGCGGTACACAACCACACAGCTCCTCTGAATGCCAATGTGTTCCAGGCATGTGTGTGACTACAGCTCCCATCACTCTCAGCCAGGCTGGGAGTGACAGACAGTGGCAAGCATCTTGAGAGGCATTGTGGTCCCAGCAAATCACTTACCAGAGCATGTAACTTATGGTAACACAACATGCACAAAAGTCAGTTCAAGTCCTATGTCACGTGAGGCTCAATTAAAGTGGTTAATCGTGATCACAGGGCTTTTTTTTGCATCTGTAGCCATCATATGTTGGGAAAACCTGGCTTATGTGGATTAGTTTATTGATCGTTGGACTGTACAGCCTCTCCAGTAAGTTAGCTTAACCAATTTGGTGTTTCTCCACATGGAGCCCTTTAAAGATGGGTGGACTTCAACTCCCAGAATTCCCTAGCCGGGCTAGGGAATTCTGGGAGTTGAAGTCCACCCAACTTTAAAGGGCTCCAGGTTAGGAAATACTGATTTATCCTTTAAATGGATGAACTTAGATTGTTGAACTTCTGGTCCTGTGCATTGAAGACCATCCTATAAACATCTGTAATTGCAGGAGGAAAACATCTTCCCTCCGTTACAAGATTACCTTCGCAACTCTGCCGGCTCCACCGTAGCGAGTGATGGCAATGGTGCCATTGAGCTCGATATTTTGACTAAGAAGGAATTCATAATCGCTCGTTTTTCCTTGGTTGGCATAGACCAGTTTCCCCTGGAAGACAATCAAGCGCCACGGAATGGCAAGGATGCCATGTTATTATTGATATATCGACATTATCCTGATATTAATGCACTAATACAGGCAGTCAGTAACAGTAACAGAGTTGGAAGGAACTTTGGAGGTCATCTAGTCCAACCCCCTGCTCACGCAGGAGGCTTGTGCTAGGGATTTGAACCGCTGAACTGCCAACCTCTCTGATCAACAAGCTCGGCATCTTAGCCGCCGAGCCACCTAGTCAGGCAATTTACGACCACAATTGGGCCCAAATTTATGTTACTAAGTGAGACTAAGTTTTGCCCCATTTTACGATCTTGCTTGCCAAGGTTGTTAAGTGAATCACTGCCATTGTTAAGTTAGGCACACCGTTGTTAAGCGAATCAGGCTTCCCCATTGACTTTGTTCGTCAGAAGGTCTCAAAAGGGGGGATCGCGTGATCCCGGGGCACTGCAAACTATCATAAACATGAGCCAAGTTGCCAAGTGTCCAAATTTTGATCTACGGGGAGTCTGCCACAGTCACTAAGCGTGAAAAACAGTCATAAGTCATTTTTTTTTCCAAAGCCGTTGCAACTTTGAATGGTGATTAAATGAATGGAGTATCTGTGGCCCTTGGGGTCAGGGGTGGACTTCAAAATTTTTTTGCAAGGGGTTCTCTGCCTGGTTGCTGGGTAGGCGTGGCCATTGTGGGCGTGGCCTAGTTGGCCTCCTTCACCACCATGCGGGGAGGGGCTTTTTGGCCTCCCCAGGCTCCAGAGGCTTTCCCCAAGACTCCAGGAGGGCAAAAACGGACTCCCCAGGCTCCGGAGGCCCTCTGGAGGCCGGAAACAGGCCCGAACTTCCCAAACTTCTGGTAGGCTGTTTTTCACCCTTCCTGAGCCTCCGCACGTGTCCTGCACTTACCTGCATCCAAAACGGGCTGCGTGGGGACTCCTGGGAGGGGTAGGGTGGGCGGGGCCAGCCAGAATTTGGGGGTTCTCCAAACTGCACAGAATCTTAGCTCGAACCCCAAGGGATCTTACCAGAGACATTTAATAAAGAACTACAATACTTAATTGTGAACATTTTAACAGCGTCTAGAATTGTATTTGCAAGAAATTGGAAAAGAGAGAAGATAATCACCGACGAAGAAATTATTAAGAAAATGTTGGACTGTGCTGAAATGAGTAGATTGACATTTGAAATAAGAGAACAGGAAGATAAACAATATTATTTGATCTGAGAGATATTCTGCCAATGGTTTGACTAAATAAAGTATGGAGATGAGATAGTACACATGAAATGAAATTATGAAATGTTTAAATATCTATCTTCTGTTCGAGTAAAGAATGCAGGTAACTGTTGTATGATGAGACTTGGAAAATTGTAAGCACGAAATGATTTTAACCAATTGAGATGCTGTCTATAATTGTTTGTAAGGATGATATTTTTATGTTGTTTTTTATTTTTAACTAAAATAAAACTTTTTTAAAAAAAGAAAAGAATCTTAGCTCGAACCCCCAGCAGCCCATCCTTGCTTGAGGTGAAATATTTAAGGAAAACAGTTTTTTGTATTAAAAAGGGGGAAACAATACGGAAGCGATGAATCGATCAAACAAACAAACACACACACTCAGTGAAATAAAAATTAGAGATGTCTGGAGAATGGGTGCAGAAAATTCACCCATTGAGTGCGATGCGTTTGTCCTTCTCTGTTCTCTTCCCGGAGCGAAAAACCCTCTGAGCTGAACAATAATTTTAACAACGCATAAAGCTGATTTATTGATTTAAAGAGCAATTAGAAGAGGAACATGCTATCTCGGGTTGGATCATAAAACTGAGCAAATTCCAGCCCGAGATGCGATAACGAAGATGAGAGATTAGATAAAAGGGGGTTGCCCCATTCTATTAGCCCACTGAAGACGGGTGGCTTTCATAAATTTTGATCAACACACTATAGAAAGAAAGAAAGAAAGAAAGAAAGAAAGAAAGAAAGAAAGAAAGATGTTGAGACTAGAAAAAGTGCAGAGGAGAGCAACCAGGATGGTGAGGGGACTGGAAGCTAAAACATACGATGAACGGTTGCAGGAACTGGGCCTGGCTAGTCCAGTGAAGAGAAGGACTAGGGGAGACAGGAGAGCATCTTCCGATATTTGAGGGGCTGCCCCAGAGAGGAGGAAGGGGGTCAAGCTATTCTCCAAAGCACCTGAAGGCCAGACAAGGAAGAATGGATGGAAACTGAACAAGGAGAGATTCAACCTGGAAATAAGGAGGAATTTTCTGACAGTGAGAACAATCAACCCGTGGAACAGAAGTTGCCTTCGGAAGTTGTGGGAGCTTCATCCCTGGAGGCTTTCAAGAAGAGACTGGACTGCCTTCTGTCAGAAAATGGTGTAGGGTCTCCTGCTTGGGCAGAGGGTAGGACTAGATGACCCACAAGGTCCCTTCCAACTCTGTTCATCTATTAAATTCCCAGAATCCTCCAGGCAGCATGGAGAACGTTGGAAGCGTGAGGAATTCTGGGAGTCGAAGTCCACCCATCTTCAGGTGGCCGAGGTTGCGACACTGAGATAGAAGAATAAAAAAAGGCAAGAGTAGAGTTACCCTTTTAGGATTTATACCTCGGCGGTCCCTGGGGGTCCGAAAGCTGCATAGGGCTTTACGATATTTGGATCTTCTTGATCCGGCGTGAGTTTTTCCTCAGTTTCTCTGGACGTAAACAGCTGAGTGTTGTTATCCACTGGAAAGGAAAGAAATGTTGGTTAAAGTTTTGAAATTCTAACTTCATCTCCCAGAATTCCCCAGCCAGCATGCTCTAAAGCAGGGGTCTCCAACCTTGGCAACCTTAAGACTTGTGGACTTCAACTCCCAGAATTCCTCAGCCAGCAAAGCCCCTTTTGTCTTAACTGTCCTTGCCTTCTGGAAGCTCTGTGCATATGCACACTGGGAACAGGCTCCCTCTGTTCCTCTGCCTCGCTGACATCAGACTCTGGAGGCTCCAGAGTCAGCACACAACTCCCAGATGGCCCTGGCCCCAACTAAAATTTTAGGGGTGTTTTAATCTGTTCTGGGCCACATTTATTTAATTAGGTTTTTATACTGTTTTTAAATTTTGTAATTCTGTGTGTTTTATCTCTTGGCTGTTCACCGCCCTGAGTTCCTCGGGAGTAGGGCGGTATATAAATCTAATAATAAATAAATAAACTCTGCCTCTGACACAGAGCCTTCATCTGATCCTTCCCCAGACTCCAGGACTGGCCCATGTTCCTCCCCAGCCTCCTCACTGTCTGACTCTGCTGCCAGCTCCACAGGCTGCCGGCGGACCACAACACTGGCTGAATACCACCTCTGATGGAGACACCCCACAAATGGGGAATTTAGGCAGTCCTCCCTAATGGGAAGGGGAAAAGCTGCAAGGGGGGGGATATCCCCAAAACTCTCTGCCCAACACCGCCCTGTCCTTTCCCCCCATACTCACCCACAGCCACCTTGTTGGGTCTCTCTGGATCTGGGAAGGACAGAAAGACGTCGTACTGCATCTCCGTGACCTTGTCAAGACCAGATTTCAGGTCGCTCCAGCGTTCGAGGAGGAGTTTGACTAGATCTTGGTCCCCCTTAGTGGTTGCCATGTGCGGCTTGGCTGACAGCTTCCTAACGTGTGAAGGACAGAATGTTGGTTGCACATTTCAGGTTTCAGAGACCATCACTTTTTTTTTTTTTTTTGCACGATTGCTTCTTTCAACAGAGAATTGAAAAAGCAGGAAAAGCGGCTTCCCTCCAGAAGTTTTGGGAAACCTCCATCACTGGAAGTTTTTAAGAAGAGATTGGACAGCCATTTGTCTGGAATGATATAGGCTCTCCTGCTCAAGCAGGGGGTTGGACTAGAAGACCTCCAAGGTCCCTTCTAATTCTGTTATTCTCTTTATTCTATTATTATAGAGAGGGCCTCCTCGGGGTGCCATCAGCCAAATAATGTAGGCTGGTGACCCCCAGGGGGAGGGCCTTCTCTGTGGGGGTACCCACCCTCTGGAATCAGCTGCCCCCAGAGATAAGGAGAATCCAAGACCTCGGTGCCTTCCGCCGTGCCCTTAAAACCTTCTTTTTCCAGCAAGCCGGGCTGGCCTAACACTTTTAAAAATGTTTTTAATTGTTTGTTATTGTTTTTAATCATGGGGCCAAATTTATATATATCTTTTTAATTGTATTTTAATGTTTGTATTGTATGTTTTTATCTGGCTGTACACCGCCCAGAGTCCCTCGGGAGAAGGTGTGGTATATAAATTCAAAATAAAATAAAAATAAAAATAAATTATGTTCATTCTGTTTTTTATTCTCTTTATTCTGTTCTTTTGTATTCTGTTATTCTCCTTATTCTGTTAATCTGTTAATTCTGTTATTCTGTTCATTCTGTTATTCTGTTTAGCCTGTTATTTTGTTTATTCTGTTATTTTGTATTCTGTTATTTCCTTTATTCTGTTATTCTCTTTATTCTGTTATTTTGTTATTCTGTTTATTCTGTTATTCTGTTATTCTCTTTATTCTGTTATTTTGTTATTCTGTTTATTCTGTTATTCTGTTATTCTTTTTATTCTGTTATTTTGTTTATTCTGTTATTTTGTATTCCGTTATTCCCTTTATTCTGTTATTCTCTTTATTCTGTTATTTGTTATTCTCTTTATTCTGTTATTCTTTTTATTCTGTTATTCTCTTTATTCTGTTATTCTGTTATTTTGTTTATTCTGTTATTTTGTATTCTGTTATTCTCTTTATTCTGTTATTTTGTATTCTGTTATTTTCTTTATTCTGTTATTCTCTTTATTCTCTTATTCTTTTTATTCTCTTATTCTGTTATTCTTTTTATTCTGTTATTTTGTATTCTGTTATACTTTTTATTCTGTTATTCTGTTAGTTATTCTGTTATTCTATTATTCGGTTATTCTGTTATTAAATTGAGGCTGACCAGACTGGTAATCTCCACATATTTTGGACTACCACTCCTCTCAGGCTTAGAGTATAACCAGTGGCAGGGGATGGTGGGATTGTTAGTCCAAAATATTTGGAGTTGTCCAGAAGTTTGCCATGTTGCATTTATCACAATATCTACCGCATAGTGCTCAGGCTCAACCCATCCAAGACCGAGTGGCTGTGGTTTCCGGCGTCCCGATATAGTCAGTTGGTGCCATCGCTGACTATTGGGGGCGAATTGCTGGCCCCCACGGAGAGGGCTCGCAACTTGGGTGTCCTCCTGGATTCACAGCTGTCTTTAGAAGAGCATTTGACGGCTGTGACCGGGAGGACTTTTCATCAGGTTCGCCTGATCCGCCAGTTGCGTCCCTTTCTGGATTGGGACTCCCTACACACAGTCACTCATGCCCTTGTTACCTCCCGCCTGGACTACTGTAACGCTCTCTACATGGGGCTCCCCTTGAGGAGCACCCGGAGGCTCCAACTGACGCAGAGTGCGGCTGCGCGGGTGGTTATGGGAGTGACGTGGCGCTCCCGTGTAACACCTCTCCTGGGCAAGCTGTACTGGCTCCCGGTGGTCTTCCGGGTGTGCTTCAAGGTTTTGGTTACCATCTTTAAAGCGCTCCATGGCTTAGGACCTGAATATTTACAGGACCGCCTGCTACCACCAGTAGCCTCTCACCGGCCAGTACGCTCCCATAGAGAGGGGCTCCTCCGGGTGCCGTCGGTTAAACAGTGTTGACTGGCGGCCCCCAGGGGGAGAGCCTTCTCTGTGGGGGCACCCGCCATCTGGAACGAGCTCCCCCCAGAGATACAGAGGATCCCAAATCTACGCACCTTCCGCCGCGCCCCCAAAACTTTCTTATTTCAACAGGCCGGTCTGGCCTAACTTCTCCCTTTTAACTTTTTAAATTGTAAATTTTAAATCTGTCTTAAGTATTGGGGGTGTTTTAATTTGTTCCGGGCCAAATTTATTTAATGTGGTTTTATATTGTTCTTTTAAATTTTGTAATCTATGTGTTTTATTTTTTGGCTGTTCACCGCTCTGAGTCCTTCAGGAATAGGGCGGTATATAAATTTAATAAAATGAAATAAAAAATAAAATAAATGGTATAAATTAGTGCTTCTCCATTTAGGCAGCTTGAAGATGTAGGGATTTCAATTCCCAGAATTCCCCAGCCAGCCATGCCGTTGCCATTGTAACTTCGAATTGTTGCTAAATGAATGGTTGTAAGCCAAGGACTACCGTATAATTCAGCTAAATCATTTTAGACCAAGGAATTTACAAGAGCCCCACACAACAAAAATTGGGGCGTTTTATGTCTGTTCCCAGCACTGCCAACACAGTAACACAATTCATACAATCCGGGATCCGAAGGAGGCTATTTCAGAGTTTGCATGATGCTTTGAGTGGTACATTTATCAAAGAGGCTGGTTTTTTTTTTTATAATATGTGCAACCTGGTTAAAAATTAAACCACTTTTTCTCATTTCGGGTCCTACGCTACATTCATCACATACCAGGTAGGTACGTTTAACATGCTTTGCCAGCACATCGGACTGTCCTGATTTTATGGTTGGTTTTTAAAATTTTGATTGATTTTAATTGAAATGTTTTAAATTATGGGCCAAACCTTATTTAATTATTTTAAACCTATTTTTAACTTTTGTGTACAAATGTTTTATTTTGGCTGTTCACCGCCCTGAGTCCGAAAGGAGAAGGGAGGTATAGAAAATTGAATAATAATAATAATAATAATAATAATAATAATAATAATAATAATAAAATAATAATAATAATAGTAATGAAGGGGAGTCTAGCTGAACTTCAGATGAATCACATTTGGGATATTTTAAGGAGGCAACTGACTTAGTCCACGATCTTCTCTGAGCAAAACTGATTTTTGAAGCCGCTGAGATTGAAGATCTGCAGGCAAAAAGCATTCAAACTTTGGATTCAGGCAGGCAGGCAGGCCAGATTTCAAGTTTAGGTTAATCCTGAATCCAAGTGACTAGAAGACATAAAATATGTAACCCCAGCCCTGGGTTGTTTCTGGGAATATGAAAGAAAGTTTCCTTCCTTTTCTTTTTTTCCTTTCTTCCTTTTCTCATTCCCCCTTCCTTCTTTTTCTTTCTCCCTCTCTCTCTCCCCCTTCCTTCCTTTTTCCTTTTTTTTCCTTTCCTTCCTCTCTTCCTCCCTCCCGCCCTCTCTCCCTTCCTCCCTCCCATGCCTTTCTTTCTTTCTTTTTTTTTCTCTTTCTTTCTTTCTTTCTTTCTCTTCCTTTCTTTGTTTCCTCCTTCCCTTCCTCCATGCCCTTCCTTTTCTTTCTTTCTTTCTTTTCCCTCCTTCCCTCCCTCCCTTCCTCCATGCCTTTCTTTCTTTCTTTCTTTCTTTCTCTCTTCCTTTGTTTCCCTCCTTCCCTCCCTCCCTCCTCCATGCCCTTCCTTTTCTTTCTTTCTTTCGTTTCCCTCCTTCCCTTCCCTCTTCCTCCATGCCTGCCGCCCTTCTTTCTTTCTTTCTTTCCATTTTTCTTTCTTTCTCTCTATCTTTTCTTCTGCTCCTTTCTTCATTCCTCCTTCCTCTTTTCTTTCTTTCTCCCTCCCCTCCCCTCCCCCTTCCTTCCTTCTCCTTCCTTCTTCCTTTTTCTTCCTTTCCTTTCCCTCCCTCCCTCCATGCCCTCCTTTTTCTTTCTTTCTTTCTTTCTTTCTTTTTTCTTTCTTTTTTTTCTTTTCCTTTCTTTCTTTCTTTCTTCCTTTTCTTTCCTCTCCTCTCCTTTCTTTTCCTTTCCCACTCTTTCTTTCTCCCTCCCTCCCTCCCCCTGTCCTTCCTTCCTTTCTACCTTCCTTCCTCTCTCTTTCCTCCCTCCCTCCCTCCCTCCCTCCCTCCCTTTTCTTTCTTTCTTTCTTTCTTTCTTTCTCTTTCTTTCTTTCTTTTTTCTTTCTTTTTTTTTCTTTCTTTCTTCTTTCTCTCTTTTCCTTCCTTCCATCCTCAAGGTGACCATTCCTCCTTCCTTCTCCTATATTTCCCCCACAACACCCCTGCGAGGTCGAATTGGACTGAGAGAGAAGGACTGGCCCAAAGTCACCCAGCGGCCTTTCGTACCTAAGGCGGGACTCGAACTCGCCGTCCCCTGGTTCCTAACCCAATACTTTCAAAGACGAACACGAGGGTCTCACGGGCCACAGGGGCCCCCTGCCCACCCCTCAAATGCTCACTTGAGGTTCTCTCGGATGTTGGCAGCTTCCACCTGGTTCATGAAGTCCTCTAGGATTACCCGATCGAGATCCTGGAGCCAGTCGGGGGAAGGCGCCACTTTGGGGATGGCGAAGTGGCCCAGCAGGATCCCCGCGGTCAGCAGCACCGCCCCACCAAGGACGGAGCACAGGATGTACTTCCAGCTTGCCATGGTTACCGGTGCCCAGGAAGAGGGGCTTCTGGTTGTGGAAGAGACCCTGGCAGCCCCTTTCTTAGCTCCTGGCTCCAGGCAGGTCTCGCTCGGTCCCGGGGCGTGAAAAGACAGGCGTGTTGCAACGATGACATGCCCTTTGGTCGTCCGGGATGGGCTGATCAAGGAAATGGCCTACGTGGTTTCTGCCAAAGGGGCTGGGAGAGGAGGAGGGGTGTGTGTGTGGTGGGGGGTTCTTGGCCCAATCGGGCGGAAAGAGGCGAGTTTTCTCAGGGGGCATTTTGGTGCTCCAAAGCCACGTCGAATTGGTCGCCTAGCGGCTGAGTGTGCTACAGGTAGTCAGATGAACAGGGTTGGAAGGGACCTTGGAGGTCATCTAGTCCAACCCCCCCCCGCTCAAGCAAGAGACCCCCCACATCGTTTCTGACAGAGGGTAGCCCAGTCTCTTCTTGAAAGCCTCCAGGGATGAAGCTCCCACAACTTCTGAGGTAACTTCTGTCCTTTACAGATTAACAGAGCTGGAAGGGACCTCGTAGGTCATCTAGTCCAACCCCCTGCCCAAGCAGGAGCTCCTACACCATTCCTGACAGAGGGCAGTCCAGTCTCTTCTTGAAAGCCTCCAGGGATGAAGCTCCCACAACTTCTGAGGTAACTTCTGTTCTTTACAGATTAACAGAGCTGGAAGGGACCTTGGAGGTCATCTAGTCCAGCCTCCTGCCCAAGCGGGAGACCCTACACCAGTGATGGCTAACCTTTTTGCCACCATGTGCCAAAAGCAGGGGGAGTGCAGGGGGGGTCTCGCGCGCACATGCCCACACCCATAATTCTATGTGCCCCGCCCTCCCACACATGTGGGCACGACCCACCCATCCCCGCTCTCGGCATGTGATGGCACAGAGGGGCCATTTTTCACCCTCCCCAGGTTCCAGAGTCTTTCTAGGAGCCTGGGGAGGGTGAAAACGGCATTCCCTACCCCCCGGAGGCCCTCCGGAGGCCGGAAATGGCCCATTTGCCGACTTCTGGTGGGACTGGAAGGCCTGTTTTTTGCTCTCCCCAGAGAGCAAATGTGGGCATGACACACACACACACCGCTCCCAGCATGCGATGGCACGGTGGCCCCGTTTTTCACCCTCCCCAGGTTCCAGAGCCTTTCTAGGAGCCTAGGGAGGGCGAAAATGGCCTTCCCCTCCCCCCGAGGCCCTCTGGAGGCTCGAAACAGCTTGTTTCCCTACTTCTGGTGGGCCCAGAAGGCCCGAAAATGGAGCTGAGCTCGCGTGCCCACCGATATGGTTCCACATGCCACCTGTGGCACGCGTGCCATAGGTTCGCCATCACGGCCCCTACACCATTTCTGACAGGTGGCAGCCCAGTCTCTTCTTGAAAGCTTCCAGTGATGAAGCTCCCAAACTTCTGAGGCAACTTCTGTTCTTTACAGATTAACAGTGTTGGAAGGGACTTGGAGGTCATCTAGTCCAACCCCCTTCCCAAGCAGGAGACCCTACACCATTTCTGACAGAGGGCAGTCCAGTCTCTTCTTGAAAACTTCCAGTGATGAAGCTCCACAACTTCTGAGGCAACTTCTATTCTTTACAGATTAACAGTGTTGGAAGGGACCTTGGAGGTCATCTAGTCCAACCCCTTCCCAAGCAGGAGACCCTACACCATTTCTGACAGAGGGCAGTTCAGTCTCTTCTTGAAAGCTTCCAGTGATGAAGCTCCCACAACTTCTGAGGCAACTTCTGTTCTTTACAGATTTAACAGTGTTGGAAGGGACCTTGGAGGTCATCTAGTCCAACCCCCTGCCCAAGCAGGAGACCCTACACACCATTTCTGACAGTCTCTTCTTGAAAGCCTCCAGGGATGAAGCTCCCACAACTTCCAAAGGCAACTTCTGTTCCGTGGGTTGATTGTTCTCAATCAATAGTCCTCGACTTACGACCACAACTGAGCCCAACATTTCTATTGCTAAGCAAGACAGTTGCTAAGTGAGGTTGGCCCCATTTTACGACCTTGCTTGCCACCGTCGTGAAGCGAATCACTGCAGTTGTGAAGTTAGTCCCACGGTTGTTAAGTGAATCTGATTTCCCTATCGACTTTGCTCGTGAAAAGGTCACAAAAAAGGGGATCACGTGACCTCAACCGTCATAAATGATGAGTCGGTTGCCAAGCCTCCGAATTTTGATCACGTGACCCTGGGGATGCTACAACGGGGTGAAAAATGGTCGTAAGTCACTTTTTTCGGTGCCTTGCTAACGCCGAACAGTCACTAAATGAGCTGCTGTAAGTACTGAACTACACAGGACTATCAGTACTGAAGTTATGGTGTTGGACTGGGACGAGGGAGAGCTGAGTTCGAGCGACTGGCAAAGAAGCCTGCCTCTTTGACAGCTGCTTTGGAGCTGCGGCGGCTGGCCGCAGGCCGCTGAAAAGTACCGGAGGTTGCGGAAAAAGCTGCTGCCGTGCCATCGCCACCATGTTCTTCGCGCATTGGACTTGCAAGGCAATGGGATGCACATGCGTGAAGAACATGGCGGCGACGAACATGGTGTGCAGGGCGAGCGAGCAGCACCCGGGGAACCGGTTTGGGGGCGTGGCCAGCCGGCCATCGCTACCGGTTCAGCAACCTTGGCCAAATATCTGCCAACAGTTCGTGCGAACCAGTGCAAACCGGCTGAATACCACCTATGTATGTATGTATGTATGTATGTATCAGTGGTGGGTTGCTCCCGGTTCAGTCCGGTTCTATAGAACCAGTAGTAAAACCGGTGGGAGGCTCCGGCCACCCGGCACGATGTCATCATGGGTGATCTATTTCTGGCTCGTTAGCCATCATCAGTAAGCCACACCCACATCTCATGTATCCTCCCTGTAAAGGTACAATATCTATTTTCTTAGGGCTGCAGAAAAACCTTGGTTACGTAGGAAAAACCTGGCTAAAAGAAAAACACACATAAATCCTACGAAGAAGTAAGAAGTAGTAAGCTCATCTCAAACGATAAATTGTTTAGCCATCATTTCGTGAAGTGGCCACCTGTGCAGAATTCTAGAGAGGCAGGTCATGTGGAAGTGGATCAATTGCCTAGCATGCCTCCTCTATACAGTCCACGCCTCACTGGAATACAACAGGGTAGTTAACACTACTGCTCGGTAGACTTTACCTTTACCTTAATAATCAAGGGACACCCTCCCTTGGGACAGTGCAATGCGCACTTCACACCCAGGGAACCAAAAACGACACCAGCGCTCATTCAGAGTAATTTCTTTATTGTTGCTCGCCTACAGACTGCAACTGTGCCGGACTAAAGTACTTATCTGCGTAACTATAGATACACCCTGTGAACTGCTAGGGAGGTGTTCTGTCCCCGTACCACACACGCACCCCCACGGACGGCCCGGAGTTAATAAGCCATACGACAAAACTCTTTGAAGATAAAGCTGGCAGCAACCCAGTGGCTAGCTGCCAATTCAGACTTTACTCACACAAAACAAAGATTAGACTGCCAGCATTCCGATAAAACAGGCAGAGTGTCAACAATACAAGGATTAATCCAAATGCAGTCCGATAAAGCAGGCAAAGTCCAGTAACGCAGAGATCATGGATTATTTCCAGTTTTTGCTCATCACAAACTGAACCGGCCACCACACCCACATTTATACCCTGTGGGGTGTGGTCCAGTGACTCAGCTAATCTCTGGCACGCCTTCCCCTCTGCTGCGCATGCTTCTCCCTGCGCCTCTGGCGAGGGTCCAGCCAGCACTTATCTCCTTCGTCACTGTCCACCTGTGGCTGCGGGGACGTGCTTGGCTCTGAGCCTATCTTTTGGCCTTCGGTGTCCTCCGGAGGCATTGCCAGAGAGGAGGGTCCTGGAGAGGGAGGCCTTGCCAACTCCTCTTCCTCACTCTCAGAGTCTGCATCTGTCGATAGCCCAGGCTCAGGCAATGGAGCCACAACAGGAGGGTGCACCTCACGGTCTTTCTCCCTACCAGACATTCCAAGCGGCGTCATCTCTTTCCTCTTTAGGAAAGACAAACCCCCACACACACCCCTCCTCCTGCCACTCTGCACTAAATTCCACCCCATCACAATTTTGTCATTGCAACACAACCGATTGTCATCCCTGAAGTTGGCCAAACTGCAGCCATTTTCCTTTCTGTAGTTCTCTAGGGAAGTTTCTAGGGGACGCGGTGGCTCAGTGGCTTAAGACACCGAGCTTGTCGATCGAAAGGTCGGCAGTTCGGCGGTTCGAATCCCTAGTGCTGCTGCGTAACGGGGTGAGCTCCCGTGACTGTCCCAGCTTCTGCCAACCTAGCCGTTCGAAAGCACGTTAAAAAAAAAATGCAAGTAGAAAAATAGGGACCATCTTTGGTGGGAAGGTCAGCAGTTCAGCGGTTTGAATCCCTAGCGCCGCGTAATGGAGTGAGCTCCCATGACTTGTCCCAGCTTCTGCCAACCTAGCAGTTCGAAAGCAGGTAAAAAATGCAAGTAGAAAAAGAGGGACCCCCTTTGGTGGGAAGGGAACAGCATTCTATGCGCCTTTGGCGTTGAGCCATGCCGGCCACATGACCACAGAGACGTCTTCGGACAGCGCTGGCTCTTCGACTTTGAAACGGAGATGAGCACCGCCCCCTAGAGTCAGGAACGACTAGCACACATGTGCGAGGGGAACCTTCACCTTTACGGAGGTTTTTTCTTCTCACTGCTTCAGGGCTGACTGTCAACTTGCAAAGCTTTCAAGTTGCCATGAGCAGGAGGGAGGGAGAACTGATAGAGCTGATTGATTTCCCTAACTGAAGTGCATTCCATACATTCTTCCTGACCGCAATCAGAAGGAGGGTGTTGGATTTCACAGCCAGCCAAAGTGCTTAATTGGAGAATGTGATTTATGATGTGGCCAGGGAGGAGGGGAGAGACAGGGTAATGGGGGAACGTAAATCTACGTGGGATTAGTTCTAAGTGCATCCGAATATTGCCGAAATGGTGCTCCTAATAAATGACTGTATTTCTTTTGAAGTTCGGCTCATGGCTCATGAATTAATTAGGGCATCTTTTGGAAACTTCACAGCCTGGAGCGAAGGGGCCAGGGAGGGAGTGGGGTGTAGAGATAGCTGGGGTGTCGTAGCCTAATTAAAATTCTTTCCCCTGGGAATCGAGGACGTTGGTGCAGGGGTTCGAAAGGTGAAGACGGAGGTCATCTTGCAACTGGACTACATGCTGATTGGACCATGTGACTGTGGGGGGGGGGAAGTGACAACGTTTTACTTTTAATCGGGTGTAAAACTGGCGAGAATTCAGAGCCGGTTTTCCACCAAGTCTGTGCCAATTTGATATGTCCCAATAAAATGTTCTTTGAGAAAGATGCCTGCCTCAGAGTTCTTATTGAAGGGGATGTATTACTTGCAACCCTGACACCAATGCAACCTGCAGCCCTAGGGGTCTTAGCTGGGGGGGGGGGCATGGAGGGGCTGTGACCTTGCCTCTCACAGCGACGTCGAGTCTTGGACGGTGGCAAAATTCTGCCCCTTCCTTCCTCCCCCCTTGCTGAGCTGGGGGAGCATAGCCCCCCTATGCTGAAGCCTGGGCCGTAGCTTCCCCTCTGAGTCCGTCTCTCCAGGACTTGAGAGCTCTTCGCCACTCCCTTCTTCGTGCACGGTTACGCAATGGAGTCTGGACCGGACAGTCCCCTTCTCTGGGGTCTCCTCTTGCTCCGAGCGCTTGGGGGTCAAGCCACAGCTGTCCAGCATCTTTGGTCTCCGGTGAGGCTCCAGATGGGGTCTCAATATCTTCTCCACCAAGCCAAGACTCCGGGAGATATCGGCAGGATCCGAGCGGCCCCATCTGCTCCGTTCAGCCGGATGCTCGCTCGCCGCTGGACGGCCAGACAGGTAAGGCGGATGCAGCATGGGGAAGGCCCCCAGTTCTGGGTCTGGCAAAGGGCTAGCAGTGGATGAGGGTGTCGAGGCCTCCTGCAGGTATAAAAAGCAGGGGGGAGAACAGACCAGCCCCCTCCCTTTCCTGCCGTACTCCTCCTCCGTCACACTCGCGCACTCAGGACAGAATTTCGTGGGCTTCCAAGCAGAGAGAGGTGACGGGTGGAGGTAGCTCTTGGCAACAGGAGGTCCATGGGCCTCGTAGTCCCCCAGAGACCTGGCTGGGTCAAATTCCGAGCTGCGGCCCAGCTTGCTGCTTTCAAGGGTCAAATCAGCTAAGGCAGGACTGCTCTGGGTGCTGGAGTCTCTATCCTTAAAAGGAGGAGGGGGAGGAATGACATCCAAGAGAGGTTCAGAAGGAAGACCCATGGGGTTCTCTCCCCCAGGCTGGGCCTGGATGCCGGATTTGGGGAGCAGACCCGAAACCTGGAAAAGGTTGGGAAAAACAAAAGACAAAAGCAAAGGATATTGTTTAGATGTCCCAGACTTTTCAAGAACCTGCCATTCATTTAACCATCATGTCACTATTTCTCATCCCTGGCAACTTTAAAGTGGGTGGACTTCAACTCGCAGAATTCTCGGAGTTGAAGTCCACTTATCTTAAAATTGATAAATTTGAGACACATTGCTCTATTATCTATCTACACTCTATCTGCCTGTTTGTCTGTCTGTCTGTCTATCTATCTATCTATCTATCTATCTATCTATCTATCTATCTATCTATCTATCATCTCTTATCTATCTATCTATCATCTATCTATCTTCTATCTATCTCTGTCTGTTTGTATCTATCTACAGTATCTATCAATCATCTATTTATCTATATCTATCTATTTATCTATCTGTCTGTCTCTATCTATCTATCTGTCTGTCTGTCTATGTACCTATCTATTTATCTGTCTATATCTATCTATTGATCATCTAACTATGTCTGTCTATCTTTCTATCTATCTATCTATCTATCTGTCTGTCTGTCTGTCTGTCTATCTATCTATCTATCTGTCTATATCTATCTATCTACAGTATCGATCAGTCATCTATCTATATATCTATCTATCTGTCTCTATCTATTTGTCTATATCTATCTATCTATCTATCTATCTATCTATCTATCTATCTATCGTCTATCTATCGTATATCTACCTATTTATCTATCTTTCTGTCTATGTATCTATCTATTTGTCTATATCTATCTACAGTATCTATCGATCATCTAACTATGTTTGTCTGTCTGTCTGTCTGTCTATCTATCTATCGTCTATCTATCTATCTATGTCTATATCTATCTACAGTATCTATCAATCATCTATCTATCTATCTATCTATCTATCTATCTATCTATCTGTCTCTATCTATTTGTCTATATCTATCGATCGTCTATCGATTGTCTATCTATCTGTGTCTATATCTATCTACAGTATCTATCAATCGTCTATCTATCTATCTATCTATCTATCTATCTATCTATCTGTCTATATTTGTCTATATCTATCGATCGTCTATCGATTGTCTATCTATCTGTGTCTATATCTATCTACAGTATCTATCAATTGTCTATCTATCTATCTATCTATCTCTGTCTGTATCTATCTATCTGTCTGTCTATCTATCTATCTATCTATCTATCTGTCTGTCTGTCTGTCTGTCTGTCTGTCTGTCTGTCTGTCTATCTATCTATCTATCTATCATCTATCATCATCTATCCTATCTTATCCTAGTCCTTCTTTTCATTAAACTAGACATACCCAGTTCCTGCAACCGTTCTTCATATGTTTAGTCTCCAGTCCCCTCATCATCTTTGTTTAATACTATATTAATACTATAAGATTCAGAAATACAAAAGAAAATAGTAGGAAAGATAGGGGAGGGAAAAGGGAAGGGAAAAGTGTACAAAAGAAGAGAAAAAGAAAGAAAAGGCATTGGCTTCCTAACTCCCTTTGATGCAGTAGAATAAAATAATAACATCAAACCTCAACTTTTCACTTTTACGTCATAGTATAAACTAGCCATTTCAATTGCAACAAACCTATCTCGTCAGTAAAACCCATAATCAAAGTTTCATATTTTTCCCCCACCTCAAGCACAAAGTCCAGAAGTGGTTTCCAAGTAGAAATAAATGTAATTGTGGGGTGTTTTTTTTTCTTTAATCACAGCAATCAATTGCCCCATCTCTGCTCACTCCATCGACTTCTGCAGCCACTCATCCACCGTGGGAACCAAAATGTCCGTTTTCCATTTTTGTGCATAATCTTGCTGCCATCAACATATAGAGCATCAAAGTTACAGATTTTTCCCCCCAAGTCTTTATCGGGGTGGGATACAGCTGGTTCAGACCGGTTCAGGCAAACCGGATGCTAATTTTACATCTGGTTCGCTGAACCGGTAGTTGCACGGACTGGCTGGCCCCATGTTCTGCCCCAGCTACGGACCCCAAAGAACGCACAAACCTTAGTTTACTAAGTTTAGTTTACTTAGTTTATTAACAGCCAACAAGAATTCAAAGAATAATAACTCAGTTCTGAGGCACAGTATTTCAGATAACCGTAATCTTACTGTGGTTGGCAGAATGCCCAGAAGCAATTTGCAGGAAAACTGATAAGAGAGAAACAAAAGCCGAATCAAAACGTTTCTGAAATCAAGACGTGAAGGAATATGAACGAAGTTGTTTCCTGCAAATTGCATCAGTTGTCATCCTTCCTTAAATAGGCTAGGGGAGTGGTCAATTAGCCACAAGCCTTACTCTTGAGGAGACCTCCTCCTGAGGAGCCATTCCTGCCTTTTAACAGCTCTGCGCACTCGTGCATCGAGAAGAGGCTCTTCCTCTTCTTCCTCTTCACTTATGGGAACTTCTGGAGGTTCTGAAGGCCCTGGCTGAATCCCCGCCTGGCACCACATCTTCTCCAGCCTCCTCACTGTCCGACTCGAGTGCCAGCTGCACAGGCTGCTGGCGCAGCACCACACCAGCCTCCTCGCTGTCGGAATCAGCTACTAGCTGCACAGGCCGCTGACGGGCCACAACACCCCGCCCTGCCCAGGAGTCTCCACATGGCCCATTTTGGATGCCAGGTAAGTGCAGGAGCGAAAAACAGGCCTCCCAGAAGTTCCAGAAGTCTGGAAACAGGCCCGTTTCTGGCCTCTGGAGGGTCTCCGGAGCCTGGGGAAGGCCATTTTCGCCCTTCCAGAGGCTCGAGGAAAGCCTCCGGAGCCTGGGGAGGGCAAAAACGCCCCGCCCCCTGCCGTGGTGCAGGAGGCCGAGTAGGCCACACCCACCATGGCCACATCCACTCAGCAACCAGCCAGAAAACTGGTTGCTATAATTTTTGAATCCCACTCCTGGTCTTTATTCGAACCTATATTTCGATGCGAGTAAGGTACTCACATTGATTTTCTCCGAGACGCAAAAAAAGTTTTGGAACCTGATAAGCTGTTCCAATTCAGCGATTCGCTGGTTCCAAGTCTGCCTTTCCTCGGCCATAGTCTGTACCTGATAAGGAAGACAGGTGGGAGATTTAGACAAAGAGATGAATTAGAACAAGGACAGACATCTATCAAACCCACCGAAATTTAAATGTTGAATTTATTTGTTTGATTGTTTATCTACCTACCTATTTATTCATTTATATCCTGCCTCACGGGATCGAAATAACTCAAGGAGACAGACATGTCCCACACACCTTCTTCCTCCTATTTTTGCCACAACAATAACAACCTGTAAGGTGTGTAGGGCTGAGAGAGAGGGACTGGCCCAAAGTCACCCAGATGGCTCTTGTGTGCCTAAGGTGGAACTAGAACTCAGAGTCTCCTGGTGATTGGCCCAAAGTCACCAACAAACATTCGTGCCTAAGATGGGACTAGAACTGTTTCCTGGTGATTGGTCCAAAGTCACTCAGTCATTTTCGATGCCTAAGGCGGGACTAGAACTCACCGTCTCCCGGTGATTGGTCCAAAGTCACTCAGTCAATTTTCGATGCCTAAGGGGGGACTAGAACTCACCGTCTCCCAGTGATTGGTCCAAAGTCACTCAGTCCATTTTCGATGCCTAAGGCGGGACTAGAACTCACCGTCTCCCAGTGATTGGTCCAAAGTCACTCAGTCCATTTTCGATGCCTAAAGGCGGGACTAGAACTCACCGTCTCCCGGTGATTGGTCCAAAGTCACTCAGTCCATTTTCGATGCCTAAGGGGGGACTAGAACTCACCGTCTCCCGGTGATTGGTCCAAAGTCACTCAGTCAATTTTCGATGCCTAAGGCGGGACTAGAACTCACCGTCTCCCGGTGATTGGTCCAAAGTCACTCAGTCAATTTTCGATGCCTAAGGCGGGACTAGAACTCACTGTCTCCCGATGATTGGTCCAAACTCACCTGGCCAATTTTCGATGCCTAAGGCGGGACTAGAATTCACTGTCTCCTGGTGATTGGCCCAAAGTCACCCAACCAATTTTCTTGCCTAAGGCAAGATTAGATCTCACCAACTCCTAGTTTCTAGCCTTAATCATTAAACCAAACTGGCTCTACCATCCAGACCCAGAATCATCTGGCATGAGTTGGGCAACTATTAAAAAATCTAATAAACAAATAAAGAAACAAACAAACAAACAAACAAATAAATTCTGCAGTTATTAGATACCAGTTTTTTCACACTGATATCTAAAAATGATTTAAGACTCTAATTCCCATCATTCCTCTTAGATGGAAAAATGCTTGACATAGTCAAGTCAGAGAGGACAGACAGGGTTATAACCAAGTTTCTGCAGCATGAAAGCTTATTTGTGATCTTAATTCATTATCATTGGAAAATGGGAAATGCAGCTCAGCTGTATATTAACCTTGCAGCTATGAGCAGAACATGCAGATTGTCTAAGATTTCAGAGCATTTAAAATTATCTATCTGAAATTACGTTTAGAAACGGGCTCCCAACCTCAAGTCCATCCCCATTATCCTCCCCTAATCTACCATTGACGGGATGCATCCTGTCCTAAAAGAAAAGGGAGGAATGTAGGGACGTAATCGTAGTCAAGAGCCTTGGTAGTACAGTGGTTTAAATCACCCTGTTATTAACACAGCTGCCTACAATTACTGCAGGTTCGAATCTCACCAGGCTCAAGGTTGACTCAGCCTTCCATCCTTTCTAAAGGTAGGTTAAATGAGGACCCAGTTTGTGGGGGCAATAAGCTGACTTTGTATAAATATACAAAAAAGTATGAGGCTATTGCTTACACGCATTGTAAGCCGCCCTGAGTCTCTGGAGAAGGGCGGCATATAAATCAAATTTAAAAAAAAAAATAGTAGCATAGGTAGAATTACTGGGACATAATAATAACTTGCTGATGCTGTTTCGCTTCTGTAAGAATTGCTTTGCTAAGAATTAAAATTGCATCTGCCATTTGTTTCTCCTAGTGATCTAACTCCTGTTTTTGTCAGCGCCTGGAATGGAATATGTTATAGTTTGGCAGGGTTACACCGGGTAAATACCTCTGTTGCTAAGCACTCAACCCCTCTGTTCCTTGTACAGTGTATCTGTATGTTTTGGATATTTCAAGACTTCACCCAGTATTTTGTTTTTGGCCAAAAATAAAATCTGCTTCTTTTTGCAAGCCTCATCTCAAGTCACACTCTCTTTGGCATCTCAGTGGCTCAGGGAAACTTCTGGGACGTTACAGTATGTCATTGTAATCAATTAGGCAACTTAATATGCAATTAACAATATTAATAAGTAATATGACAGGTTTCTTACAATCCACTGAAATTTCTCTTCTAACAGCTGGTTGGCGTGACGGGTGTTGCAATACTCTTCTTGAATCCTAATGGAAGAAAAGCGGAAATTAGTGCAAATTGTTCTGAATGAAAGTTCTACTTAGAGAAATTTGGGATCCGATGGGACAGATAAGTAAACCACTTTTTCTCAACCTTGGCTACTTTAAGATGGGTGGACTTCAACTCCCAGAATTCCTCAGCCGGCGTCTTTTAAGGTGGATGAACTTCAACTCCAGAATTCCTCAGCCGACATCTTTTAAGGGGGATGAACTTCAACTCCCAGAATTCCCCAGCTGACATCTTTTAAGGGGATGAACTTCAACTCCCAGAATTCCTCAGCCAACATCTTTTAAGGGGGATGAACTTCAACTCCCAGAATTCCCCAGCCGACATCTTTTAAGGTGGATGAACTTCAATTCCCAGAATTCCCCAGCCGACATCTTTTAAGGGGGATGAACTTCAACTCCCAGAATTCCCCAGCCGGCATTCTGGGGATTGAAGTCTACTTATCTTAAAGTGGCCAAGGATGAGGAACACTGAAACTCCTATAATAATTCCCAAATATTAATGCATTGTGGAAAAATGTTGTGGTACCGTTAATATTTTAATATTAAACTCCTCCCCAAAGTGGGTTGGACTGCAGGGAGCCCCACCCCTTAAAGGCCTCCTGTGCTTTCAATTCTTCCTTACCTGCTGTAATTTTCCTTTAAGGATTCCAGTGTCTCTTCCCATTTTCTTTGCAGATCTTGTTGAGTAGATACAGATTTGGCATCCAAAACAGGAATTTTTGGTAGCTCCTGCTCCTGAGAAGAGCTAGCATGAGGACAGAAACTCATTTTTATTTGTTAATCGCCCAGAATCACACAAGTGTGCTAGGCAGGACAGCTAGTCTTCATCTTACAATAATAGTGTTTGAAGTTACAACGGCCCTGAGAAAAATGACTGTAGGAAGTTAGCACCCACCCCTCTCCTAGGAAAATGAGATATTTTAGGAAATATTAAAATATTTCCCCTAAAAGGGAGGCAGAAATTCAGCCCTCCCCTTTGTCAATGGAAGGCCTGGGCCAGCCTATTCTACATAACAAAGAACTACCTCCTTCAGGCAGAGCCATAGTAGGAATTGCCCAAAGCCCCTTTCATTACATCATCACCCAGCAAGAGTCAACCAAGCCTGGGACGCAGACAACCTACAAAGTTACCCCTGTATGGCCCCATGGGAGCCTGACAACCAATCAGAACACAAGCTCAATTTCAAAGCCCAAGAGAGGGCATATAACCCAGGCACGCTCTGCTTTAAGCGCTGTGGCCAAGCACGTTGTTAAAAATTACAAGCCATCATCCTGCCTCTAAAGTTTCAGTGGGAAATTGGGGACCACGAGGTTTTACGACACATAAAATCTAAAAATATGGAATTTAGAGATCGATGAACAGCGGCCTTTTAACAAACAAACTCAGTCACGCTTGCTCTAGTATCCGAAATCTGACTTTTCAAATTTATGAAAGTTGTTTCCCTTTGAAAACAAAAGAGATTTACCATTTTCTTCGTCATCATCGTACACGGAATATGGAATAATCAACAACACGAATCTATATACGGTCTCTGGCCTGTGACTGTAATAAAACTTGATTTGATTTGATCAATATTTAAAAGGCCACCGAGACTGCGGGTGGCATACAGGATTAAAGTCCCAAGCGATAAACCAACACCCCTCCCTCATCACAGGCAATTCTCTATTTATGACCATAACATAGCTCAGAATTACAGTTGTAAGTCGTACTGGTCATTAAGGAAGTCACCACATAACTGTGTTTGATTTTACAATCTTTTTTGGAGGGTGGGGGGGGTCGCGTTTTAAGCAAATCCGTTGGATGCAATGAGTGATTTTTGCTGGAAACTGGAAGTACAGCAGCTGTGAAATCTGAACCGGTTTACTACTGGTTGGCTGGCTGCAAAATCGCAGTGCGCATCACGCACCAAATGCGAGGTGCGCCCACGCAGTGCACGCCAAAAGGAGGCATGCGGTAAGTAGAACAGCGCGCGAGGGGGGTGGTGATCAGCTGTGGCGCGCAATCCTTTTTTTTTTACTTTTAAAAGCAATGCTTTTAAAAAAAAGCCTCTGACGATCGCGCTGCCTCTAAGTGTTCTGACCTAGGCTTCACAAAAGCACGAAGCAGACTCCTTGTCCCGACAAAACCCCTTTTTATTAAGCTAATGTGAATTCCTCTCATCCACATCCAGCAAAGTCCCGGCAAACAGTCTTCCCAGGGTGAATTAACAACCACAGACCTTATCAGGCTTGGAGAGCTGCCAGGCCGATATCTTCCAAACCGCAATGCTGTACAAGAAAAGGCTTGGCAAGGAGTCTCTGAGAGTCACGAACAGATCTTCACACTAATGAAATGAACTAATTGTCTCCTGCAAACTCCACTCCTCTTTCGCTCGTCTTTTATTCCCCATGGGAGGGGCCGTTCCCCGTCCACCTGTGCCTTTACTCCCGAGTCGGCCCTTGTTCCTTAACTGTTCCCTTCTCCTGGCAGCTCTGCGCATGCGCATATTGGGAACAGGCTCCAGCTGTTCTTGTGCCTCACTGATATCCGACTCCGAAGGCAGCTGATAACTGTCAGACGGCCCTGGCCCCCTCTCTGCCTCTGACGTAGAGCCCTTTCCCAGACTCCAGGACTGCCCATGTTCCTCCCCAACCTCCTCACTGTCCGATTCTGCCTCCAGCTCCGCTGGTGGGCCACAACACTAGGCCAACTGCACCGCTCATTAAACCAACATAATATAGAAATAAAAAATACAAAATATACAATATTGTTCAAATGAGGCAGCAGAAGGCGGCTCAGAAGCAAGTGCTCCCAACTGAGAAACCAAACACTAACTCACATATGTATGTATGTACCCTGTTTCCCCCAAAATAAGATCTCCCCTGATAATTAGCCCAATCCGGCTTTGGAGCGCATGGCAATAAGGCCAAGCGCTTATTTCAGGGTTCAAAAAAATATAAGACCGGGTCTTATTTTCGGGGAAACATGGTAGGTAGGTAGGTAGGTAGGTAGGTAGGTAGGTAGGTAGGTAGATAGATAGATAGATAGATAGATAGATAGATAGATAGATAGATAGATAGGCAGGCAGGCAGGCAGGCAGGCAGGCAGGCAGACGGACAGATTAGAGGGAGAGAAGATAGATAGATAGATAGATAGATAGATAGATAGATATAGATAGATAGATAGATGATAGATAGATAGATAGATAGATAGATAGATAGATAGATACCCTGTTTCCCCCAAAATAAGACTTCCCGTGATAATAAGCCCAATCAGGCTTTTGAGTGCATGGCAATAAGGCCAAGCGCTTATTTCAGGGTTCAAAAAAATATAAGACCGGGTCTTATTTTCGGGGAAACATGGTAGATAGGTAAGTAGGTAGGTAGGTAGGTAGGTAGGTAGGTAGGTAGGTAGATAGATAGATAGATAGATAGATAGATAGATAGATAGATAGATAGGCAGGCAGGCAGGCAGGCAGGCAGGCAGGCAGGCAGACGGACAGATTAGAGGGAGAAGATAGATAGATAGAAGATAGATAGATAGATAGATAGATAGATAGATAGATAGATAGATAGATACTCTGTTTCCCCCAAAATAAGACCTCCCATGATAATACGCCAAATCAGGCTTTTGAGCGCATGGCAATAAGGCCAAGCGTTTATTTCAGGGTTCAAAAAAATATAAGACTGGGTCTTATTTTCGGGGAAACATGGTAGATAGGTAGGTAGGTACGTAGGTAATATATAGATAGATAGACAGACAGACGGATGGATTAGAGGAAGAGAAGATAGATAGATAGATAGATAGATAGATAGATAGATAGATAGATAGATAGATAGATAGATAGATACAGATGATAGATAGATAGATAGATAGAGGATAGATAGATAGATAGATAGATAGATAGATAGATAGATAGATAGATAGATAGATAGATACAGATGATAGATAGATAGATAGATAGAGATATATAGATTAGAGATAGAGATAGATAGATAGATAGATAGATAGATAGATAGATAGATAGATAGATAGATAGATACTCTGTTTCCCCCAAAATAAGACATCCCCTGATAATAAGTCCAATCGGGCTTTTGAATGCACGGCAATAAGGCCAAGCGCTTATTTCAGGGTTCAAAAAAATATAAAACAGGATCTTATTTTCGGGGAAACACAGTATGTATGTATTTACTTACTTACTTACTTATTTACTTATTTCATTATTTCTTAACCGCCCATCTCTCTTAGGAGAGTCTTTCTGAAGGAGGTGCAGAATCCCAGAATAACAGCTCAACCCCCTGCTCGAGCGGGAAACCCTTATGTTCAGTACACATACAAGGATGTAGGCCTACTCACCTGGGTGGCTTTGGGTTCACTTCGACCAGAAGTTCCTGAAGAACAAAAGGAAAAAAGATATATATTTCAGTCTTCATCCCCTTCAAAAAAAAGGGGGGCAAACGACCAGCCCTTAAGCCCCTCAGATAATTTAGAAACGGGACTGGATCTGAAATGATTTCCATTTCCAGCCTATCTTTGCAGCTGATTCCAAAACAAGGGATTTCTGGATAGGATCTTCTTTCCTGCAGTTTGCTTTGGTTGTCTTTCTGAAGTGGCAATAACGACGAGAGAAAAGCCATACCTGCTGGGAACTTAGATCCTGGTCGTGTTAAAGTAGCACTTAGCTGCCAGCTGCCTGCAATTACTGCGAGTTCGAATCTCACCAGGCTCAAGGTTGACTCAGCCTTCCATCCTTCCGAGGTAGGGAAAATGAGGACCCGGATTGTGGGGGCAATAAACTGACTTTGTATAAAAAAGAACACCACTTAGGGGTGGCCGAAAGCCCTACTAAGCAGGTATCTACAAAAGTATGAAGGCTATTGCTTAAAAGCATTGTAAGCCGCCCTGAGTCTCTGGAGAAGGGCGGCATATAAATCAAACTAATAAATAAATAAATAAACTATGGGAACTGAAGTCCAAGATATCCACTAGGCACCAGGCTGAAAATGGGGTCTGTACATTTTTAGCGTGGACTTTCATATCTTTGCAATCGAGCCAATAAAAAGTATGAAGGCTATTGCTTAACGCATTGTAAGCCGCCCTGAGTCTCCAGAAAAGGGCGGAATATAAAATGGAACCAATAAACAATAATAAATAAACTCCCAGAATCCCCCAGCCAGCATGCTTTAAGACGTGTGGACTACAACTCCCAGAATTCCCCAACCAGCATGCTTTAAAATGTGTGGACTACAACTCCCAGAATTCCTCGGCCTGTATGCTTTAAGATGTGTGGACTTCAACTCCCAGAATTCCCCAGCCAGCATGCTTTAAATGTGTGGACTACAACTCCCAGAATTCCTCGGCCTGTATGCTTTAAGATGTGTGGACTTCAACTCCCAGAATTCCCCAGCCAGCATGCTTTAAGACGTGTGGACTACAACTCCCAGAATTTCCAGCCAGCATGCTTTAAAATGTGTGGACTACAACTCCCAGAATTCCTCGGCCTGTATGCTTTAAGATGCGTGGACTTCAACTCCCAGAATTCCCCAGCCAGCATGCTTTAAAATGTGTGGACTACAACTCCCAGAATTCCTCGGCCTGTATGCTTTAAGATGTGTGGACTTCAACTCCCAGAATTCCCCAGCCAGCATGCTTTAAGACGTGTGGACTACAACTCCCAGAATTTCCAGCCAGCATGCTTTAAAACACATAGACTACAACTCCCAGAATTCCCCAACCAGCTGCATGCCGGCTGGGGAATTGTGGGGAATTGAGGCCCACACATCATAGA